TCCCGGTTCCGGTTGACCTAATTAATGCAGTCTAACAAGAAATGTGATAGTGTATTATGTGTATGCCAGGTTAAAGAGATGAATCTTTAATCTAGATTTAAACTGACAGAGTGTGTCTGCCTTCCGAACAACACTAGGTAGATTGTTCCAGAGTTTGGGCGCTAAATAGGAAAAGGATCTGCCGCCCGCAGTTGATTTTGATATTCTAGATATTATCAAATGACAACCACCCAATAAAGCATTACAATAATCTAACCTTGAGGTCATGAAAACATGAATTAACCTTGCTGCATTTGACATTGAGAACATAGATCGTAATTTAGATATATTTTTAAGATGGAAAAAGGCGGTTTTACAAATGCTAGAAACATGGTTTTCAAAGGAAAGATTGCTATCATATAGCACACCTATGTTCCTAACTGATGACGAGGAATTAACAGAGCAGCCATCAAGTGTTAGACAGTGTTTTAGGTTATTACATGCAGAGGTTTTTGGTCCAATAATTAACACCACTGTCTTTTTAGAATCTAGCAGTAAGAAATTACTAGTCATACAGTTTTTTTTTAAAAAAGCAACGGTCCTAGCCTTGTGGCACTCCATACTGCACTTGTGAATGATATGATACCTCTTCATTCACTGCTATGAATTGATGGCGGTCAGATAATATGATTTGACCCATGCCAATGCAATTCCACTAATGCCAACATAATTTTCTAGTCTATTCAAAAGAATGTTGTGGTTGATAGTATCAAACGCAGCACTAAGATCCAGTAACACTAATAGAGAAATACATCCACGATCAGAAGATAAGAGCAGGTCATTTGTAAGCCAACATAATTTTCTAGTCTATTCAAAAGAATGTTGTGGTTGATAGTATCAAACGCAGCACTAAGATCCAGTAACACTAATAGAGAAATACATCCACGATCGGATGATAAGAGCAGGTCATTTGTAACTCTGATGGGAGCCAAGCTTTTTTTTAAATTTATTTCTTTTAAATTGTTACCTTTAAATTGTTTTGGACGTTTTTTGTATTTTCTAGTTCGGGGAACAGACACAGTCTCTATAGTATGATATCTAGGTGAAAGAGTCTTTATGTGCTGAGAATTAACTGACTTTTGTGACGTGAGGCGGCTAGCAGACGGTCGGTTTAGCCAGTCTTTCTGCTTCCTGACCCGGGCCCCAGTTAGTCAAGTACAGACTCTAAGACAATAGCCCCTTTCACACACACAGTCTTTACTGGTAAATTACCGTTAAGAGATCATGTGTGAACAGGACCTTTTAAAAAATACCGGTAAATTCGTCCCGGCAATTTTCCAGTATAAGGACTTGTAACATTACCAGTAAATTACCGGTAATGCGCTCTGTGTGAACGCAGCACAAGATTAGCGGTATGAGCACGTACAAGTATAGAACGCGCTGACGTAAGACTTCTATTTCATTCACTTTATATATGTTATATAATTAATTATTTGTAATACCGTATATATAATACGCTATGGAAAAAAATAAGAGACCACTTGAAAATTCTCAATTTCATGGATTTAATGGATTTGCTAGGTATGGGTTTGAGAAAAAATTTTATTTTTGTTTTATTGTAGAAAGATATGATAACATTTCTTCCGAATTTCAAATAAAAATATTGTCATTTAGTCATTTTTATCATTGCATAAAATGACAATTGGTCAAAATATCAAATGTCTTCATTTGTGTTGTCTAAAATAAAAATGGCACCTTTTTTGTTATGTTGACTAATTGTTATTTCATGCTCTAAATGACAACATTTTTATTTAAAATTTGGAAAAAAAAATGTCATCAGTAGTTTATAGAATAAAACAAAAATGACATTTTACTCAAACACACACTCTAAAAAATGCTGGGTTAAATACAACCTGGTGCTGGGTAAAATAGGGACAAACCCAGCAATTGGGTTGTTTTGACCCAGTGGTTGGGTTAC